AAATATTTTTAAAAGTTTGTTTATTTTTATTTATGTGAAATACAAAGTGACAGGAGAAAGGAAGTTGTCCTACCCATTGTTCACTCCCCTAATTCCTGCAGCAGTGAGGGCTGGGCCAGGCCGAAGCCAGGAGCCTAGAACTCCATCTGGATCTCCCACATGAGTGGGAGGGAGCCAGGTGCTTTAGTCATCACTTGCTGCCTCCCAGGGTGCGCATAAACCGGAAGCTGGATGGGAAGCACAGGCAAGACTCAGTCCCTGGCACTCTGAGATGTGGGTGTCCCATGTGGCAGCTTAACCTGCACCACAGTGCCCACCCCTCAAAATGTCTACACCAAAATAAACTCATCTTTTAGTGCCATTTTCCATGAGCTTTTTGAAACAGCCTTGAATAGGAATCGTAAGTAATCTGGAGATGATTTGAAGTGCTAGAGGGTGGTGAAAGTTATATGCAAGGGCTGCCCCACTTCACACAAGAAACTTGAGCACCCTGTATTTTGAGATCTCTGAGGGTCCTGGAACCAGTCCCCCACAGATACCCAGAACAGCCACAAACACACTTAACTATGTGGTAATATTCTTGACCAAGAAAAAAATTTAATCTGAATTATGAGGAAACAAAATCAGAAGGTAGAACATTTTCCTGACCTTGTGTCTTCAAAAAAGTTACTTAGGAAAAACAAAAAAACTTACAAGGCTGTCTCAAAAAAATTACAACTGATTTCAGTATATCAGAACCTTGATCCTGGATTGGATGAGATAAGAAAAATATATAAAAGACATTTTAGTGGCAGATGTTTGGCCTCCTGGTTAGCACCTGTTCAGATGCCAGCTTCCCCCACATCAGAGTGCTTACATGTGGTTCCTGGCTCTGGCTCCGGCTCCTGATCCCAGCTTCCTGGTGTGGACTCTGGGAGACAGCAGTGGTGGCGCGAGGAGTTGGATTCCTACCACCCTTGCTAATGCTCCGGGTTGAGTCGCCAGCTCCCAGCTTCAGCCCCTGGGGCATTTGCAAAGAGGAAACCAACAAATAGGAGACATCTCTGTCCCTGTCTTGTCTCTGTCTCTCTTGCTCTCACTGCCCTTTAAAATAAATTAAAAAAAAAAAAAAAAGACATGTGTCAGAGAGGTTGTGGAGAAGTTAGAACCCTTGAGCATTGCTGGTGGGAATGTAAAATGACACAGCCACTGTGGAAAATGACATAGCAGTTGCTCAAAAATTAACCCTAGGGTTACCAGACAGTCTAGAAGTTCCGTTTCAGAGTTTGGTACCCAAAAGAACTAAAAGCTGGACTTGAGCAGATGTTTGCACACCAGTATTCATAACATCATTATTCACAATAGCCAAAAGTTGAGGCAACTCAAATGCCCTTCAGTAGATGAAGAGATACACAAATTGTGAGAAATTATGCAGCATAAAAAGGAGTAAAATTCCTTTTCTTCTTATTTTTTGTTTATTTTAGGAGGGAATTCTTTTTTCTTATTATTGTTACTTATTTTGAAAGGCAGAGAGAGTGAGGGAGAGAAAGAGAGAGATCTTTCATCTGCTGGTTCACTCCCCCAAACGGTGGCAGCAACCAGGGCTGGGCCGGGCTAAAGCCAGGAGCCAGGAGTTTCCTTCAGATCTCCCACATGAGTGCAGGGGCCCAAGGACTTGGGCCATGTTCTGCTGCTTTCCCAGGTGCATTAGCAGGGAGCTGGATCAGAAGTGAGCAGCCAGGACTCGAACCGATGCCCACATGGGATGGCAGTGCTGCACATAGCAGCTTGCCTACTATGCCACAACACCGGCCCCAGGGTGAAATTCTTGTATGTGCTGCAGCATGCATGAAACTTCAACAGTTTTTACCAAATCAAAGAAACCACACACAAAGGGACCATTATATTTGTCTAATTCTATTCATAAGGTGCCTAGGAGAGGCATTCATAGAAGCAGGGTAGGCTGCCGCGGGGTGGGCACGGGGGAAATGAAGAGCTTCTGTGTGACTGGTAGAGTTTCATTTAGGCATGATGAAAAGGTTCCAAAAACAGTGCAGTGGTTGTACAATGTAGTGAATGTATTTGATGCCTCTGAACTGTACACTTAAAAATGACTAAAATGAAGTAGACAGCTGGCCTAGCAGTTAAGACACCAGCTGGAAGGCTTGTATCAGAGTACCTAGGTTTGAACCCAGCTCTGACTCCTGATTCCAACTTCCTGTTGGTGCAGACCTGGGGAGACAGCAATGACAGCTCAGGTGGTCAGATTCCTGCCACCCACATAGAAGACCTGGGTTGGAGTCCTGCCTCCTGGCTTTGGGCTCCCCAGGCCCCAGCTGTTGTGGGCATTTGGAGTGAGCTAGCAGATGGGAGCTCTCTCTGGCTCTCAAAAACAATTTTTTTAAAGACTAAACTAGGGGCTGGCACTGTGGCATAGCAGGTTAAATCTCCACCTTTAGTGCCGGCATCCCATATAGACATCGGTTCGAGTCTCAGTTGCCCCACTTCCAATCCAGCTCCCTGCTAATGTGCCTAGGAAAGCAGCAGATGGCCCAAGTGCTTGGGTTCCTGCACTCACGTTGGAGGCCCAGAGGAAACTCCTGGTTCCTGGCCTTGGACCAGCACAGCTCTGGCCATTGCAGCCATTTGGGGAATGATTGAAGATCTCTCTCTCTGTCTTTCTCTGTCTCTCCCTCTCTCCCTCTAACTCTGCCTTTCAAATAAATTAAAATATTAAAAAGAAATAATTGCAGCAAGGATGCAGTTGGATAGGAGGAATCACTTCTTTAAAAAAAAAAAAAAGATGAAAATGACTTCTATGTTCTCTGTATTTTACTACAGTGAAAAAATTAAAAAAAAAAAAAAAAAAACTTTTCCATCTCACCAGCTCAAATTTTTTATCTCAACATTCCAGAAGAAAATTTGAAGCATTTGAAAAAAAAGAAGATAGCACATCCATTTGCTTTTCAAAACTGTGAGTCAGTTGCAGATTTCAGCTTGGTACCTGAAGAAAAGAATGAATTATTGCAGCTTAGTTCTTAATTACGCTGAAGAACAATTACAAAACATTGCGTTCATTCATCATCATTTTGGATTAAGATTAAGGAATATCTGTCATTAAAGAAGTAGAGTTTTACTATTATCCTGTTCCCCACAACCTTTTTGTTTGAACTAGGATTTTTCAGGTTTAACCTAATTTAAAACAAAACAAAAATAGAAAAAGAACAGGCTCTGGTGTACGGAATACACATAGGATGTTGTCATCATCATGTGTTCCATACGAGAGTAAGTTTTTGAGTGTTTTTTTTTTAATTTATTTATTTGAAAGGCAGAGTTACATAGAGACAGGGAGATCTTCCATCTGCTCATTCACTCCCCAGACTGAAGTCAGGAGCCTGGAATTTAGTTTGGGTCTCCCACATGGATGGCAGGGGCCCAAGCACTTAGGCCATTTTCCGCTGCTTTTCCAAGCACATTAAAGGGAACAGAATCAGAAATGGAGCAGCCAGGACTTGAAGCGGCTCTTATGGCATACCGGTATTGCAGGAGTAAGTTTAGAACAGGCAAGCACACCTTTTAAATTGAATAAAATCTTTGCTAATTTTTGTTTTTGAGTTATTTGTGATTTTTTAATGTGTTATATTTAATGAAATCATATTTGATGTTAACTTTGTTTTTACCTTATAAAAAAAAAACAAAAGAAATTCGTTTTTCTAAAATTTCAATATATACATACATAGAAGTATCATGCCAAGTCCCAGTATAGAAGACACTTTTCTAAACTTTTATTTTCATGGGCCAGCACTGCGGCATAGAGGGTAAAGCTGCCACCTACAGTGCCAACATCCTATTTGGGTGTCGATTCAAGCCCTGGCTGCTCTGCTTCCATCCAACTCCCTGCTAATGTGCCTGGGAAAGCAGTGGAAGATGGCTCAAGTGCTTGGGGCCCTGTACCATGTGGGAGACCTGGAAGAAGCTCCTGGCTTCAGATCGGCCCAGCTCTGGCCGTTGCAACCATTTGGGGAGTGAACCAGTGAATGGAAGATCTCTCACTGTCTCTGTCTCTCTGTCTCTGTCTCTCTCTCTCTCTAACTCTGCCTTTTAAATAAATCTTAAAAAAAAAAAAAAAACTTTTATTTTCAGTCTTTTTGAAAATTAGAGAGACAGAAATCTTTCATTTCCTGACTTATCCCCCAGATGCCCACAACAGCTGGGGCTGGAGCAGGCTAAAGCTGAGAACCCAAAGCTCATCCAGGTCTTCCACATGGGTGACAAGGATCTAGGTGCTTGAGCCATCACCTTCTGCCTCCCAACATCTTACCAGGAGGCTGGAATCAGCAGCAGATCCAGGATTCAAACCAGGCACTCTGATATGGAATGCAGGTGTCCCAAGAGTTGGCTTAACTGCTATTCCAAAGTCCCACCCTCCTCCAAGCTCCTTTATGCTAAACAGTCTAAGGCCTGGTTTGTTGGCCAGTAATTATGAGATACAGAATTTAAAAATTACTACCCTGTGCTCTAAATAGAAATTTGGATCCCTAGTCTCTGAGACCATGCATTACCCAGTTGGTACAGCTTCTCATGCTCCAGTACTCTGGGGCCCACATTTTTTTTTAACAGATTGAGATTGATTTATTTATTTGAAAGGCAGAGTCAACAGAGAGTCAGAGGCAGAGAAAGATCTTCCATCTGCTGGTTCACTCCTGAAATGGCCACAATGGCCAGAGATGGGCTGATATGAAGCCAGGAGCTTCCTCTGGGTCTCCCACATGGCTGCAGGGGCCCAAGGACTTGGGCCGTCTTCTACTGCTTTCCCAGGCCATAGCAGGGAGCTGGATCAGAAGTGGAGCAGCTGGGACTCGAACCAGTGCCCATATGGGATGCTGGCACTGCAGGCGGTGGCTTTACCCATCACAGTGCTGGTGCTGGGGCCCACATACTTGTTTCAAGTGCAGTGGTTTGGAGCTTTCCTTGAAATAACACATTTCTACTTTTTAAATTTTCCTTCTTGCTCCATGGAGACCTGAGGATGAGATGTTTTTAAAAAGCCTCTCAAGAGGTTACTTCGTGGGAAAGGACCCTGCTGCTCCCCTTTTCTACAGAGAAGAAGGAAACAAAAAATTCCAGGAGAAAGACTACACAGGGGCTGCAGTGCTGTACTCTAAGGTAAGAGGCTCCCAGCCCAGCAGTTGGACAGAGTATGTCTGCTAAACTTCGTAGCCAGCGTTCTCTCTGTCTCTCTCATTTGTGGATTGGGTTTGAAAACGGGCAGCATTCTCTTTTTATTTGTATTCTTTTTTAAAAAAAGATTTATTTCATTTATTTGAAAGGCAGAGTTACAAACAAAGAGAAAGAGAAAAAGAGAGAGCTTCCATCTGCTGGTTTATTCCCCAAATGGCTACAACCAGGAGATTGGAACCCCATCTGAGTCTCTTACATGGGTGACAGGGGCCCAAGTAATTGGGTTATCATCTACTGCCTTCCCAGGTACATTAGCGGGGAGTTGGATTGGAAATGGAGCAGCCGGGTCTCAAACCGGTGCCCATATGGGATGCCGGCACTGCACGTGGTGGTTTTACCTGCTACGCCACTGCACCGGCCCCCCATTCTGCCTTTCAAACAAATAAATAAGTAAATCTTTTTTTTAAAAAAAAAGATTTCTTTGCAAAAGAAAAATGAAGCAGGTTGTTACTCCTACTCCTGTTTCCATTGTAGGAAATAGAACAATATCCCTTGAGAAACTTCGTCCCATAGCCTTGAAGAGATTTATATGGACTTAAAGGCAAGAATGTATCAGTTCTTGCAACAGGTCTGTGGTCTTGTACATTAAAAGAATGAATGGAAATTTGAAAAGTATCTTTAGCAGGCCTATGCTTAAGTTTTTGGAGTTAATTTTCAAAAAGCTAACAGACCTAGCAACAGCAGCTTATATGACTGATAAAATCCCTGCTTTGTAGTGTTACAACAAAGTATTTAGCTAAATAATGTAAGCTTTAGTGATTGCTGAAGGATTAAAATCCATTAGATGTAATGATCTAGTGATAAATGGCTTAATAGTTATTTTTCAGAGCTAATCTCTTCAGCTTTATGCGTGCACATCATAAATGTGATCACATAAAAAGTTGTTCAAGGAAAACAAGTACAATAAAAAGTGAAGTCAGGGGGCCGGTGCTGTAGCATAGTGGGTAAAGCCACTGCCTGCAGTGCCAGCATCCCAAATGGGCACTGGTTCAAGACCCAGCTGCTCCACTTCTGATCCAACTCTCTGCTATTGCCTGGGGAAGCAGTAGAAAATGGCCCAAGTGCTTTGGCCCCTGCACCAATGTGGAAGACCCAGAAGACGCTCCTGGCTTCAGATCAGCCCATCTCTGGCTGTTACTGCCATTTGGGGAGTGAACCAGTGGATGGAAGATCTCTCTCTGTCTCTCTCTGCCTCTCTGTAATTCTGCCTTTAAAATAAACAAACAGGCCGGCGCCATGGCTCAATAGGCTAATCCTCCGCCTGCGGTGCTGGCACACCAGGTTCTAATCCTGGTTGGGGCGCCAGATTCTGTCCCTGTCGCCCCTCTTCCAGGCCAGCTCTCTGCTGTGGCCAGGGAGTGCAGTGGAGGGCCTGCACCCGCATGGGAGACCAGGAGAGGCACCTGGCTCCTGCCATCGGATCAGCGTGATGCGCCGGCCGTGGCGGCCATTGGAGGGTGAACCAGCGGCAAAGGAAGACCTTTCTCTCTGTCTCTCTCTCTCACTGTCCGCTCTGCCTGTCAAAATAAATAAATAAATAAATAAAAATAAAATAACAAATCTTAAAAAAAAAAAAAAAAAAAGAGTTACCCTTACCTTTAAAAAAAAAAAAAAAGTGAAGTCAGACAAAAAAAATTAAGATTTATCTCCAGGGGCCAGCAATGTGGTACAGCGGGTTAAGCTGCCGTCTGCTACTCCAGCATCGCATGTGAGCCCTAGTTTGTGTCTCAGCCGCTTCACTTCCAATCCAGCTCCCTGTTAATGTGGCTGGAAAAGCAGCAGAAGATGGCCCAAGTATTTGGACCCCTGTACTCACATGGGAGACCTGGAAGAAGCTCCTGGCTTTGGCCTGGCCCAGCTCCAGCTGTTGTGTGTTGTGGTAAATCAGCAGATGGAAGATTTCTCTGTCTCTTCCTCTCTCTCTCTCTCTAACTCTGCCTTTCAAATAAGTGAAATACATTGTAAAAGAAAAAGAAAAATTTATCTACTGGGGGTGGGTGTTGTGACACAGTAGCAGTGCCATCCTTTGGAACACCTGCTGCCCACATCAGAGTACCAAGGTTCAAGTCCTCGCTCTGCTTTCCAGCTCAGCTTCCTGCGCATGCGGACCTGGGAGGCAGCAGTGATGGCTCACATTCTTGGTCCCTGCCACCCACGTGGGAGACCTGGATGGAGTTCTGAGCTTCTGGCTTCCGCCCTGGCTATGGTGGGCATCTGGGGAGTGTGAATCAGGGCAGAGAAGATCTTTCTGTGTGCCACACTGCCTTTCAAATAAATAAATAAATCACTTGAAGTTTTTTCTCTGGATTTGGAGGAAGATGAGCCTCCTTATTTCATGAAGCTGGTATTTTGGTGATTTTGCTACTTTGCAATTTTCTGGAAAGCTGCTGTTTTCTGTCTTTTTAAAACTAATGTTTGTTGTTTTTGTCTTATTATGAAAGTCGTGTATGTTACTTTGGAAAATATAGAGAAGCATAAAGAGTGAAAAAAAAGATCTCATAACCCATGATAGACACTGTTAACATTTTTGCTTATCCCCAGCCAGCCAGACTTTTTTCTCTGAAAATGTGTTTTTCTTTTACAAAATAGGGATAATGCTGCACTTACTGTTTTGTAGCCTGCTTTTTCCCTCCTCAACAATTTATTGTGCCCATTTGCTCATGTTATTGGGTTTTCCACTAGAACATGATTTTCCACCACTGGCTCCGTGTTCCTGTAATAGGAGGAACTGTTCTTGATTTTACATCTCCTGTTGGCAAATTGCTTGGTATCATAATGTTACCACAAGCATCTTTCCATGTAGATATTTGTATACCTGAGTCACTCCGTAGGATAAATTGAATAAACTGCTGGGTCGAAGGGAATGGATGCTTTTTCAGGCCTTTGGCATTGACGCTGAGTTCTCCAGGAAAGAACTAGTTAACCTGCCTCAGGCAGAGTACGGGGATGCTTGTTTCTCCATACCCTAATCAGGCTGGCAGTTATGGAACTTTTATTATTATATCTATTTGTTTTTGAATAGGACATAGTTCAATTTTAAAAGTCGCAAGAGAATTCAATGCCTGCCCTAGCTTTGCCCCTTCAGCTTCCCCTGCCCCAGACTACCCTGTTTCCCAGCCCATGAGCCAGCACTGCTCAGCGTGCCTTTCCAGAGCATTTCAAGCATATGCAGACAAATCTGAGTCATTCCCGCTCCTGCATACGCATTCCATGCCTGGCCCACCACCGTGCTCTCTTCACTCGACGGTGGTGGTTTCAAGCTTGTTCCGCAGAGGTGCGTGGAGAGCTTCCTCGTTCTTCTTGCGACTGTGGCATTCTCAGTGGGTGTTCCCTCATTTATTTAACCAGGGTTATAAAAAACATCCTATAGAGCAGTATTTAAGTTGTTTCCTAAGTTTTGCTGTTTCAAATAAGTCTATGACAGCAGGTGTTTAGCTTAGTAGTTAAGACAACCACATCCCACATCAGAGTGCCTGGGTTCTGGGTCTGGCTCCTGGTTCCAAGCCCAGCCCAGTCCTGGCTGTTGCAGGTATCTGGGGAGTAAACCAATAGGTGGGAGCATCCTCTCTCTGTCTCTGCCTCTCAAATAAATTTCAAGAATAAAAAAATAGTAATTCTATAATGAAAAACTTAGTATGCTTATCATTTTTCACTTATCTATAGGATAAATTCCTAAAATAAGAATTACTGAGCCAGCGCCGCGGCTCACTAGGCTAATCCTCCACCTTGCAGTGCCAGCACACCGGGTTCTAGTCCTGGTCGGGGCGCCGGATTCTGTCCCGGTTGCCCCTCTTCCAGGCCAGCTCTCTGCTGTGGCCAGGGAGGGCAGTGGAGGATGGCCCAAGTGCTTCAGCCCTGCACCCCATGGGAGACCAGGAGAAGTACCTGGCTCCTGCCATCGGATCAGCATGGTGCGCCGGCCGCAGTGCGCCGGCTGCGGCGGCCATTGGAGGGTGAACCAACGGCAAAGGAAGACCTTTCTCTCTGTCTCTCTCTCTCACTGTCCACTCTGCCTGTCAAAAAAAAAAAAAAAAAAAAAAAAAAAGAATTACTGGGTCAATGGAGATTATTATGTATGTGCAAAAAATATATAAAATTTTTATGTATATTGCTAAAATGCCTTCTATAGTCATGAGACCAATTTATACTCCCACTGGCAACATGTGAGGATGTCATTATCCCTCTCCATTGCCAGCTTGATGTGCTATCAATTTTATTTTGGGGGGCTGGAGCTGTGGCGTAATGGATAAAGACGCCGTCTGTAGTGCCAGCATCCCATATGGGCACTGGTTTGAGTCCTGGCTGCTCCACTTCCGATCCAGCTCTCTGCTATGTCCCGGGAAAGCAGTGGAAGATGGCCCAAGTCCTTGGGCCCCTGCACCTGCATGGGAAGACCCGGAGGAAGCTCCTGGCTCCGAATCTGTGCAGCTCTGGCTATTGCAGCCAGCTGGGGAGTAAACCAGCGGATGGAAGACCTTTCTCTCTCTCTCTCTCTCTGCCTCTGACTCTGCCTCTCTGTAACTCTGCCTTTCAAATAAATAATAATAAATCTTTTTTTTTTTTTTTAATTTGTCTTTCTAGGATGGCCATTGTGGTGTAATAGGTTAAACCACTGTTTGAGACTCCCGTGTCCCATATCAACGTGCTGGTTCAAGTCCTGGCTGCTTTACTTCCAGTCCAGCTTCCTGCTAATACATCATAGGAGGCTCAAAGATTTGGGTCCTTGCCACCCACATAGTGCACGTAGTTGGAGATCTGGGTTCTGGTTTTGGCCTGGCCCAGCCCTGGCTGTTGCAACATTTGGGGAGTGAACCCACAGATAGAAGATTGATCTCTCTTCTCTCTCTGTTGCTCTGCCTTTCAAGTAGATGGAAAGTAAATGAAAGTAAGCATTTTTTAAACTTATTTGTGTTTGCCAATTTGATAGGTAAAAAAAATGACATTTCAGTACAGTTTTAATTTGCATTTTGTTTATAATAACTGAGGTTGCGCATTTTCTCATACATTTAAGAGCCATTTGTATTCCCTTAGGACTGTCAGTATTTGCATATTTTCCTGTTGAATTATTGGTTGTCATCCTGTTGATCTCCAGGAACTTCTGGTAAAGTAAACAAATTAGCTCTTTGCCTGTAATATGGCTTGCAAATACATTTTCTGGTTCAATCTTTACCTTTGATACTGCTTTTACTGTTTTTTTTTTCTTTTACTATGAGTAAATTTTTATTTTTTTTATTTTATTTGAGAGGGAGTTAAAGACAAAAACAGATAGCTCCTCCCATCTACTGGTTCAATCTCCAAATGCCCACAATGGCTGGGGCTGGTCCGGGCCAAAGCCAGGACACAGGAACTCAGTCCAGGTCTCCCCCAATGGGCAACTGGCACCCAAGTACTTGAGCCATCACTGGCTGCCTTTTGGGATACACTAGTAGAAACTATGAGGAGTGGAACCAGGACTTGAACCCAGCACTCCAGTATGAGATGTGGGTATCCTGTCTGCTAGGCCAGATGCTCACCCAAATTTTTTTTATTTTTATGAGGTCAAATGTTTTAATCTTTTGTGACTTCCAGTGTGCCATGCTTAGAGATCCCTCCAACATTACTTTAGACTGTTCCTGTGGTTTCATTTCTTCCTTTTTGTTTTAAGATTTATTTTATTTATTTGAAAGGCAGAGTTACAGAGAGACAAATACACAGAGAGGGAGATCTGCCTGCTGGTTCATTCTCCAAATGGTGGCAATGGCCAGGGCTGGGCCATACTGAAGCCAGGAGCTTCTCCTGGGTCTTCCACGTTGGGGCAGGGGCCAGAGCACTTGGGCCATCTTCAGCTGCTTTCCCCAGGGCTTTAGCAGAGAGTTGGATTAGAAGTGGAGCAGCTGGGGGCCGGCGCCGTGGCTCACTTGGTTAATCCTCTGCCTGTGGCGCCAGCATCCCATATGGGCACTGGGTTCTGGTCCCGGTTGCCCCTCTTCCAGTCCAGCTCTCTGCTGTGGCCCGGGAGTACACTAGAGGATGGCCCAAATGCTTGGGCCCCTGTACCTGCATGGGAGACCAGGAGGAAACACCTGGCTCCTGGCTTCGGATTGGCGCAGCACGCCGGCTGTAGCAGCCATTTGGAGGGTGACCCAATGGAAGGAAGACCTTTAACTCTGCCTGTAAAAAAAAAGAAGAAGAAGAAAAGAAAAGAAAAAAAGGGCCAGCGCCGTGGCTCAATTAGGCTAATCCTCCACGTTGCAGCACCGGCACACTGGGTTCTAGTCCCGGTCGGGGCACCAGATTCTGTCCCGGTTGGGGCACCAGATTCTGTCCCGGTTGCCCCTCTTCCAGGCCAGCTCTCTACTATGGCCCAGGAGTGCAGTGGAGGATGGCCCAAGTACTTGGGCCCTGCACCCGCATGGGAGACCAGGAGAAGCACCTGGTTCCTGCCTTCGGATCAGCGCGGTGCGCCGGCCACAGCATGCCGGCTGCAGCACGGCGGCCATTGGAGGGTGAACCAACGGCAAAAGGAAGACCTTTCTCTCTGTCTGTCTCTCTCTCTCACTGTCCACTCTGCCTGTCAAAAATAAAAAATAAAAATAAAAAATAAAAGAAGAAGTGGAGCAGCTGGGACTTGAACTGGCACCTGTATGGGATGCTGGTGTCACAGGTAGCAGCTTAATCCCCTAAGCCACAACACCAGCCCCTCATTTCTTACTTTTAAGAGTTCAACTTTTTTGGAATTTATCCAGTGAAAGATTTATCAGAGCCAACTGTAGTTTTTTTCTCATTGAATAATAGCCATCTTTTCTCCAGTAATTTGAGATGCCACCTTCATGGTTATTACTAATTCTTGCCAATTTTATGGTAAAAAGTGCCTTATTGTGCTTTCACTTTCATATCCATGTATATCCATATTTAAACTTACCATTTTCTATGTATTGATAATTATTTGTGGTTTTTTTTTTTTTTTTTTCATGAATTTCTGGTTTTGTCATACACCGTTTGTTAGGTTCAGGATTATACTTGCAAATGTTTGCCTCAGTCTTTTTTTTTTTTTTTTTTTTTTTTTTTTTTTTTTTTTTTAAGATTTATTTATTTGAGAAGCAGAGTTACAGAGAGACAGAGAGAGGTCTTCCCTCCACTCGTTCACTTCCCAAATGGCCGCAAGGGCCAGAACTGGGCTGATCGGAAGCAAGGAGCCAGGAGCTTCTTCAGGATTTCCCACGTGGGTGCAGGGGCCCCAGTACTTGGTCCATCTTCCGCTGCTTTTCCAGGCCATTAGCAGAGAGCCAGATCCGAAGTGGAGCAGCCGAGGGCCTGGTGCTGTGGCATATCGGGTAAAGCCGCTGCTTGCAGTGCTGGCATCCCATATGGGTGCTGGTTTGAGTCCCAGGTGCTCCACTTCTGATCCAGCTCTCTGCTGTGGCCTGGGAAAGCAGTGGAAGATGGCCCAAGTGCCTGGGCCCCTGCACCCGCGTGGGAGACCTAGAAGAAGCTCCTGGCTCCTGGCTTTGGATTGGCACAGCTCCAACCATTGTAGCCATTTGGGGAGTGAACCAGCGGATGGAAGACCTCTCTCTTTCTCTACCTCTGCCTCTCTGTAACTCTGCCTTTCAAATAAATAAATAAATCTTTTTAAAAAAAAGACTTCACACCACATCTGAACATGTACCATTAAAAAAAATAGGTGGAGCAACCAGGACTGAAACCGTCACCCGTGTGGGATGCCAGCGCAGCAGGTGGAGGCTTAGCCTGCGATGCCACAGCACCTGCCACTCCCTCAGTCTTTTGTGTCCTTCAGTGTTGTTTGTGGTTGAAACTGTGATGCCACTGCCTTCAGTGTGCTTTAAATATTTATTTCCTCACTGAATCTTCATTGCTTTGCTCTAATAGTTAAAAATGAAGCTGAAGCGGTTGAGAGGCATAAGGTGGTTCAGTAGCTTTCCCAGTTTCATTCCGACTCCAGTGACAGAGCCGGTATTGTCTGAAAAAAAAGAAAGCCTTGGAATTGCTGGTTTCCATCTCTGTTTCTCGTTGTTTTGCAGGGAGTGTCTCATTCAAGGCCCCACACTGAGGACATTGCACTCTGCTATGCCAATCGCTCTGCTGCCCTCTTCCACCTGGGTCAGTTTGAAGTGAGTATCAGGTGCTGTCTAGGGAGGATCTGCAGCCCCTCCTTCCTCAGAGCCCTAAAAGCAGCCAGGCTGTGATTGGTCCAGCTGGAAACACGCTGCTGCCCACCGGAGCCTGCTCTTCTCCTCTTTTCCCCTGTTACATGTGGCCATGGCAGTGGTGTTGGTCGACAGGAAGGGGCCATGATACATTCTACAGGGGCATGGACAGTGTCCAGGGGATCATCTGTTCCCCTCGTTGAGCCGGCTGTGCCGTGTTGCTCCTTCAGGACCCCGGATGTTTGCTTATTTCCAGTAACCACAGCCTGTTCCTGTTCCGAATTACCCCTGTAGTGGTCATCGCTCCCCCTAAGCAGGCTCTGTGAGCAGGAGAGCAGAAGGTGCCCTGAGATGCCTATGGGCAGGCTTTCTGATCCCCAAACTGTGGCAGCAAGAAAACCAGTGCAAATTTTGTCAGTGACCAAAATCAGATTTATGTTTTAGCAGATACTCTGGCAGCTAAAATTTGTAACAGAGAGGTCTAAGGACAGACTCTAAAATGCCATGTTGTATATCCATTTCAGAAATTGAAATTATACCCTAGATTTCGACCTTTGGCAGGTATTGGTTGGGTGTGGGGGTCTTTAGCACATTGGTTAAGATACTGGTTCAGACACCTTCATCCTATACCAGGGTGCATGGGTTCTCTCCCCTCCTCCCCTCCCCTCGTCTCCTCTCTCCTCCTTTCCTCCTCCTCTCCTCTCCTCCCCCCTCCTCCCCGCCTCTCCTTCCCTCCTCTCCTTCCCTCCTCTCTCCTCTCTCCTCCTCCCCTCCTCTCCTCCTCCCCTCCTCCCCTCCTTCCCTCCTCCCCTCCTCTCCTCCCCTGGGAGGCAGCAGGTGCAGCAGATGATGGCTCAAGTAGTTGGGTTGCTGCCATCCACATGGGAGACCCAGATTTAGTTCCCGGCCTGACCCAGTCAGCCTGACCCAGTCCCAGCTATTACAGGCCTTTGGGAAATTACCAGCAGATGGAAGATCTCTGTGTCTTTGTTTCCCTCTCTTTCTCTCTCTCTATGTCTCTTTCTCTCAAATAAATAAATAAATAAAATATTTTTAAAAGGTCTATGGGAACTCTAACTCTAGGACATAAGCAGGAAAACCCTAGACTACTAAGGACAATGATTAAAAGAACTGGCAAAGCATTTATCTTTTTATAACTTCCTTACACTAGTTTTTTCCCCTCTTATAATAATGATTACCATTTATTGAGAATATACTATGTTCTAGGCACTTCTTTCAGCATTCTAGATAAATTTATTTATCCTTAAAACAACCCCATGATACATAATTATCCTTGTTCTTCAGATAAGAAAATCAAGATACCAAGAAATTAAATGGCTTGCAAAAGGTCATGCAACAGGGGCAGTGTTTGAAAGAAATAGAGGTAGAGACAGAGAGAGGTCTTCCGTCTGCTGGTTCACTCCGCAAATGGTCGCAATGGCCAGAGCTGAGCCAATCCGAAGCCAAGAGCCAGGAGCTTCTTCCAGGTCTCCCATGTAAGTACAGGGGCCCAAGGACTTGGGCCATCCTCTGCTGCTTTCCCAGATGTGTTATCTGGGAGCTGGATTGGAAGTGGAGCAGCCGGGACTTGAACTGGCACCCATATGGGATGCCAGTGCTGCAGGTTGTGGCTTTAACCCATTGTACCACAGCGCCAGCCCCAGTTAATAATCCCTAACTTAGGGGTCCAGCATTGTGGAACAGTGGGTTAAGATGCTGCTTGTAACAACTCTATCCCATATGGGCACCCCTTCAAGTCCTGGCTACTCTGCTTCCAATCCAGCTCCCTGCTGACACACCTGAGAAGCAGCAGAAGGGGGTCCAAGCCACCATGGACCCCTGCCACCCATGTGGGAGACTAGCATGAGGTTCCTGGCTTCTGGCTTTGGTCTGGCCCAGACTTGGCTATTGCAGCCATTTGGGGAGTGAATCAGTGGATGAGAGACTTTCTCTCCCCTCACCCCCACCGCTGCCTTTCCCTCTAAGGGCCATTCTAGTTATGTCTCTTCTGCTTTCAGGCATGTCTTGAAGACATTGGCAGAGCACAGCTGCACGGGTACCCAGAAAGACTGCTGCCTAAGATGCTGCTGCGTAAGGCAGAGTGTCTGGTGGCCCTGGGGAGACCACAGGAAGCGAGCCAGACCATCACCGACCTTGAGAGTAATCTCACTTCCCAAGCAAGTCTAGCACTTTCCCCCTTTCAGACTCTGCAGAGAAACCTTCATCATCTGAAAATGAAGGTACGAGACAAGGAGGCTGTCATGGAAACCTTCCCAGCGGTGCTAGCCAACGCCTTGGAGAACATGGACCTCAGGGAAGAGAGCGAGCAAGTTTCCAGCGCATCATCATCTGTCAGTTTAGGCACAGACCCTTCAAAAGGCCGCTGCCTAGTTGCCACGAAGGATGTTCTCCCGGGAGAACTCCTGGTGAAGGAGGATGCTTTTGTGAGTGTCCTTATCCCCGGGGAGGTGCCACCCCTGCCTCACGGCCTGGGGAGCAGGTGGGATACCAGAATTTCCAACGGGGACCTCTACTGTCACCGATGCTTGAAGCACACTCTGGCCACGGTTCCCTGCGATGGATGCAGCTATGCCAAGTATTGCAGCCTTGAGTGTTTGCGGCGGGCCTGGGAGCTGTACCACAGTGCAGAGTGTGCTCTTGGGGGGCTGCTGCTCACACTCGGCATCTTCTGCCACGTTGCGCTGAGGCTGACTCTCGTAGCCAGATTTCAGGATTTCGGCAAAGTCATCAGGAAGCTCTGTGATGAGATTAATAGCAGGGCCGTCTGTGTGCCTGAAAGCAAGGATCCAGTCAAGACGCTCAGTAATGGGCTGGGAGAGCGTGAAACAAGTGGCACAGCAGTTGAGACCCCAATTCCTGGGTGTGGTGTTAATGGGAAGTATGAAAATAATTATAATGCCGTCTTCAACCTTTTACCCCAGACTGAGAACCATAGCCCCGAACACAAGTTCCTGTGTGCTCTCAGCGTTTCTGCGCTGTGCAAGCAGCTCCAGGCAGCTGGTTTTCAGGCCCTCACAGCTGGCCTAAAATCCTCGAAGCTGAAGGCAGCGGTGGCTCCTGATTTGTGTCCAGATTTGCATGTCTGGGGCGTGGCCCTGCTGCGGCACATGCTGCAGCTGCAGTGTAACGCCCAGGCCATAACTACCATCCAGCAGACAGGTAAGGGGGAACCTAGCTTTCTGCCTTACTGTGTTCTTGACATAGCTGATGTCTGCGGAAAGAGAACCATAGGAAGGGGCAGGTGCTTGGCATGGTCATTAAGGTGCCACTTGGAATGCCCGCATCCCATATCAGAGTGCCTAGGCTGCAGTCTGGCCCTGTTTCAAATCCCAGCTTCCTGCTAATGCACTCCCTGGGAGGCAACAGGTCGCGGGTCAATTACTTGGGTCCCTGCCACTCATGTGGGAGACCTTCTGTCTGTCTCATTGTCTCTCTTTGTCTACGTCTGTCTCTCTGCCTTTCAAATAAATCTATTTAAGAAGACCTATAAAGGAAAATAGTAGCGTGCAAACATATTAGGGTTATAATGGAAAAACATGGCTATTTTGTAGTAGTAGTATACTGTTGAGAAGCTATATGGTCTTGAATTAATTATTTGAGCCCACTCTGCCTCAGTTTCCTTATCTGTAAAATGGTTAGCTTCATACCACCTAACTTTATAGAATTATGTTTGTAAAAATGCTTTACAAAGTTAAAATCCATGTTACTGAAAGTTTTAATTGTGAAGGAAAACTGTTCCACATAAATACAGATGCTCTTCAACTCATTATGGGAACCCATCATCAATTGAAAATATCATACTAACTGTGGGCCAGTGTTGTATTGAAGAAGGTTAAGCCACTGCCTGTGCCACTGGCATCCCATATGAGCCCTGGTTTGAGTCCCAGCTGTTCTGCTTATAATCCAGCTCCCTGCTAATGTGCCTGGGAAAGCAGCAGAAGGTGGCCCAAGTGCTTGAGTCCCTGCCACCCACTTGGGAGATCCAGATGGTGTTCCAGGCTCCTGGCTTCAGCCAGGTCCGGCTTCAGCCATTCTGGCCATTTGGGGAGTGAACCAGTGGATGAAAGATCTCTTTCTCTGTCTTTCCCTCCCTCTGTAATTCTGTGTCTCTCAAATAAATAAGTAAATCTTAAAAAAAAAAAGTATTTGGAAAAATCTCACAAAATTAGCAACAATGAAGAGGATAGAGCCAAAAATATGAGTATAAATTCATTTATAAATTTTAAAATGTCAATATAATTGAAGACTATTTTTAAATATAAACAACCTTTTATTTATTTTTTAAAGATTTATTTATTTATTTGAAAGTCAGAATTACACAGAGAGAGAAGGAAGAGACAGAGAGAGGTCTTCATCCGCTGGTTCACTCCCCATTTGGCCACAATGGCCAGAGCTGCACAGATCCGAAGCCAGGAGCCAGGAGCTTCTTCCAGGTCTCCCACGTGGATGCAGGGGCCCAAGAACTTGGGCCATCTTCTACTGCTTTCCCAGGCCATAGCAGAGAGCTGGATCAGAAGTGGAGCTGCCGGGATTTCAACCGGTGTGCATATGGGATGCTGGTACTGCAGGCAGTGGCTTTATCTGCTACGCCACGGGGCCAGCCCCTAAACAACCTTTTAGAAAATAGAATTGCATAATAGTCCCAGAATGACAGAAAAGTCTAAGAATTATAAAAAAGTTATAGAAATATTTATAAAAACAAATCAGACCTACTCTTTTCCATATGAGTTCTTTCAAACTTTGAATGTTTTCTTAACTTTTTTTTAAAAAAAGACTTATTTATTTATTTGAAAGGCAGAGAGAGAGAGAGAGAGAGAGAGGTCTTCCATTCGCTGGTTCACTCCCCAATTGGCTCCCATGACCAGAGCTGTGCCGATCTAAAGCCAGGAGCCGGGAGCTTCTTCTGGGTCTCCCATGTGGGTGCAGGGGCTCAAGGACCTGGGCCATCTTCTACTGCTTTCCCGGGCCATAGCAGAGAGCTGGATCAGAAGTGGAGCAGCTGGGACTCAAACCATCGTCTATATGGGATGCCGGCACTGCAGGCGGCAGCTTAACCCGATACACCACAGTGCCAGCCCTGGTATTTTTTAACTTTTAATTAAAAAAAAAAAAAAAAAAGTCTCTCAGGAACAGATTGTTCCTGTGCTTTGTAAACTGTCCCAGAGCATGAGGGAACCTAGAACTCTTTCCCGTCTGTCTACAACCCCAAGAATGAAACTGGAGCCCAGCGTCACCTGTGAATGTAGGAATGCAGAGACAGACACCCTGGGTCCACCTGCCGTGTCCTGCACAGCGGATGTAAAGGAATGATGTGTGACACAGGCTGGGTCTCTGCCAGGGACACGCAGGTGCTTTAATTGGGAGGTATGTGAATGAGTGGACAAAGCACAGGGTAAGCACGGCCATGCTATGTTTGGTGGAAACACTGAGCGCTAAAACTGCAGTTCCCCTGCATTAACCTCTAATCAACATTAATACCTTTTCAAAGAAAGTCGCAGTTGGATTTTTCTTGGAAATCAATAGCATTCTCAAGGTCATCTTCAGTAAGTGGGTGAGAATAGCCTTTTTTTTTTTCCTTTTGAGTCCTGAATGGCCTTGTTACTATCAGCTTTCATACCTGCTTGAAGGCCACAATAATTACAAACATGAAACTGATGACAGCCTCCAAAAAGTGTTAGATTCTTTCTCCAAATAATTAAGAAGTTAGATTGTTTTATAGCCATTCAATGGCTGTGGGTAGTATTTGACTGTGGTTTTGTAAGTGGAGATACAATATTTTTATATGTCTTATAGTTTTTTGGCACCTCTGCTATTCCGTTGCTTCCTTTTTCTTTTCTTTTAAAGATTTATTTATTTGAGATGCAGAGAGAGAGATCTTCCATCCGCTGGTTCACTCCCCAAATGGCCATAACAGCCAGGAGCTTCCTCCAGGTCCCCTGTGTAGGTGCAGGGGCCTAAAGACCTGGACCATCTTCCACTGTTTTCCCAGGTGCATTAGCAAGGAGCTGGATCAGAAGTGGAGCAGTTAGGACTGGAACCAGTGCCTATATGGGATGCCAGTGCTGCAGCACTTTACCTGCTGTGCCACAGCGCCAGCCCCAAAGGTTAAATCTTTTAAAACTAAGCTATAAAATATCTAGAAAAAGGTAAGCGAACAATTACATAGTCTTAGGGTATTAGAGACTTTATTTTTATTTTTTCATTTTTAGAGCTATAGAGAAAGTGAGCTCCCAGGCTTGGTCATCCCTCAAATGTCTACGATAGTTGGGTCTGGGCCAGGGCCAAAGCCAGGCTCCAGGCTCTAGGAATTCAGTCTTGGTCTCTTACATGTGTGGCAAGAACCCAACTACTTGAGCCATCACCTGCTGCCTCCCGGGATACACATTAGCAAGAATCTGGAGGGGCCCACAGCAGGTTAATGCCCTGGCCTGAGGCGCCAGCATCCCATATGGGTGCCAGTTCAAGATCCAGCTCTCTGCTATGGCCTGGGAAAGCAGTAGAAGATGGCCAGGTCCTTGGGCCCCTGCACTTGCATGGGAGACTCTGAGGAAGTTCCTGGCTCCTGGCTTCAGATTGGCACAGCTCTGAGCATTGTGGCCATTTGGGGAGTGAACCAGCAGATGGAAGACCTCTCTCTCTCTCTGCTTCTCCTTCCCTCTCTGTGTAGGTAAGTCTTGACTTACAGGCATTTGAGAAGATGACCATATCCCACATCAAAGTGCCTGGAATCAAGTCCAACCTCTACTTCTTCTTCTTCTTCTTCTTCTTCTTCTTCTTCTTCTTCTTCTTCTTCTTCTTCTTCTTCTTCTTTTTTTTGAGAGAGAGAGGAAGAAGGAACAAGGAAGGAAAGAAGAGAGAGGATTTTTTTTTTTTTTGACAAGCAGAGTGGACAGAGAGAGAGACAGAGAGAAAGGTCTTCCTTTGCTGTTGGTTCACCCTCCAATGGCCGCCGCGGCTGGCGTGCTGCGGCCAGTGCACCGCACTGATCCGATGGCAGGAGCCAGGTGCTTCTCCTGGTCTCGCATGGGGTGCAGGGCCCAAGCACTTGGGCCATCCTCCACTGCACTCCCGGGCCACAGCAGAGAGCTGGCCTGGAAGAGGGGCAACTGGGACAGAATCCGGCACCCCGACCAGGACTAGAACCTGGTGTGCCGGCGTCGCAAGGCGGAGGATTAGCCTAGTGAGCCACGGCACCGGCCCCAACCTCTACTTCTGATCCAGCTTTGTGCTAATGTGCAACCTAGGAGGCAGCAGATCATGGACTTGGGTCCCTGACACCCACGTGGGAGACCCAAATGGAGTGCCTGGCTCCTGGCTTTGGCCTGGTGTTATCCCAGCTATTGGAGGCAATTGAGGAGTGAACCAGTAGATCAAAGATCTCTTCCCCCTCCCCCTCCCCCTCCCCCTCCTCCTCTCTCTCCTCCTCCCCACCCCCCCCAGTCTTTTAAATAAAAAAAGTAAACTCTAAAAAAGATTAAAAAATATGGGGCTGGCACTGTGGCATAGCTGGTAAAGCCACTGCTTGCGACACCAGCATCTCGTGTTGGCACCAGTTCAACTCCCAGCTACCTTACTTACAATCCAGCTCTCTGCTAATGTTCCTGAGAAAGCAGCAAAGGATGTCTCAAATGCTTGGGAGACCAGGAAGGCGCTCCCACCTCTGGTCTGGCCCAGTCCTGGCTGTTGTGGCCATTTAGGGAGTGAACCAGCAGAAGGAAGACTTCTCTCTCTCTTCCTCTAACACTGCCTTTCAAGTGAATAAATAAGTAAATCTAAAAAAACAAAAAAAGTTTAAAAAAATGAAAAAACTGGGCGGACAGTAGGCACAGTGGCTTAGGTTGCCACTTGGATTGCACATGTGCCATATCAGAATGCCTGGTTTGAGTCTCAGCTACTCTGCTTCCAATCTGGCTTCCTGCCTGTGCACATCCTGGAAGGCAGCAGGTGATGACAAAAGTGCTTGGGTCCTTGCCGCCCATGCGGGAGATCTGGATAGTGTTCTAGGCTCCTGGCTTCAGCTTGACTCCGCCCCAGCTGTTGTGGATCTTTGGGAGATGAACCAGCACATGGGACCCATCTCTCTCTCTCCCTCCCTCTCTCTCTCTCTCTTTCTCTTTCTCTTTCTCTTTCTCTTTCTCTTTCTCTTTCTCTTTCTCTTTCTCTTTCTCCCTCCCTCTCTCCCTCCCTCCCTCTCTCCCTCCCTCCCTCTCTCCCTCCCTCCCTCTCTCTCTCCCTCCCTCTCTCTCTCTCTCTCTCTTTCTTTCCCTGTGTGTGTGTGCGTCTGCCTTTCAAATAAATATAATAAATAAATGAATACATTTTAAAATGGTATTGTTTGAATTGTTTTTACTATTTAAAAAACTAAGATAACAAAAGGAATATATGATTTTTTTTTTTTAAAAAGTAAAATGCCGGCCATTACAGAGGAAAACACAGTTCCCTTGTCCCATCAGGCAGCTGTTACCTCTTGGTGTATTTTGTTTGCTGTCTTCTTTCTGTGCGGATGTATGGAATTTTCTTAACCACTATGCCACAGTGCCAGCCCCCAATGTGATTTTTTTTTAATTGAAAGAGTTACACAGAGGAAGAGAGGCAGAGAGAGAGATAGATCTTCCATCCACCAGTTCATTCCCCAAATGACCAACGGCCAAAGCTGAGCCAATCTGGGCCATAACAGAGAGCTGGATCAGAAATGGAGTGGCTGGGACTCAAACCAGTGCCCATATTGGATGCCCGCACTACAGGCAGCAGCTTTACCCACTACGCCACAGCGCCAGCCCCATCAACATGGATTTTTTTTTTAAGATTTATTAACATGGATATTTTAAGGCATGCAGTACATACTGCACAGTTGTCCTCCGGTAAGTTGTGCCGGTTTGTCACCCATCGGCAATGTTCACTCTGATTTTTGAATTCTGTCTAATTTTGTTTTAGTCTGCTCATGTTTCTAATCTTGTTATATCCCTTTTTATTACTTCTTTGGGGTTCCAACACCTCCCAATTTAGTGTTCTCATTGAATTTCATTAGCAGCTGTTTCATTAGTAACACAAAAGAAGTATTAAAGTGTTAACTAGGATAGACTTTGGCAAAAACCTATAAAAATGTATGTTATTAACTTTGCATAAATCCTACTTAATCAAACTTCCTGAGAAGCCTGTTTCAAGAGACAGAACTGGCCGTCCATGCTGTTCTAGATCCTGCCGTGTGTGGCTCTGTCTCAATGGGAATGGTTTGTGTTGTAGCTCCATCGTGTTACAGCAAAGCTGAATGAGGTTCTCTAGCTTCAGACCAACTTGCTGCCCTTAGCTTTCTCTCTCCAACAATCAGGGAGTCTATCTTTAGTGATTGTGTGTGATTGCTTGACACACACACAGATTTCTCACTTTGCAAAATATGTACCACAGTAGGTATATTCTAGAAGTATGTGAATCTCTTTTAAAAAGATTTATTTCTGTGAAAGAGTGACTAAGAGGTGGGAAGAAAGAGAGATAAAGAAAGATCTTTGATCCTCTGGTTCACTCCCCAGCTGGCAGCAATAGCCCAGGCTCAGCCAGGTAGGATGAAACCAGGAGCCAGGAACTCCATCGGGGCTCCCACATGAGTGACAGGGACCCAAGTACTTGGGCCACTTCTGCCTCCTCCCAGGTGCATTAGGAGGGAACTGGATTGGAAGCAGAGCAGCTGGGCTCAAAACCAGCACTTCCACATGGGACCCCGCGTTGTAAGAGGCAGCTTTACTCGCTGTGCTGCAGGCCCTAGTGAATCTTTTTCTTTTTCCAATCCCACTGTAAATGCAGGAGGGGTGTTAGACGGGTGCCCTTTTGGTGAAGTAAAGAATCACTCCCTCTTTTTTAAAAAACATAAAATGTCACATATTCAATTTGGTTAACAAAGCACATGCATATTTTCATTTTCTACTATCTCTACTAATAAATGACTAATGCAAAATATTGAGTAATTTTCAAAAGTCAATACTTAATCTTTTAGAAGTAATTAGAGAGAGATTCAACTCTGACATAAACACCCCACTCGGTTCCTGGGCCTGCTGCTGTTAGAGGGTAAGCTATAAATAACTCCCGAAGCTAACATTACTCACTGGATTGTGATAATTTTTTCTGGGAAAATTTTAGCAACTGTTCTAATATAGATTGCCAGTTATCAGGAGCTGGGAATGCGAGTCAGCTTTTAATTATGCAGAGACTGATTATTCAAAGTGTTCGTGCCCTGCACTGCTCCTTCCTGCTGCCTACCTGTCAGCATTTTCTCTGCTCATTAGCGCATGTAACAGAAGGTAGGCATCAGACGGGGGAGGGGGCAGGAACTAAAATCAGTTTAGCACTTAGGAGAAGCTCTGATGAAAGATTTTAATACCATTTGTAGAACCATCGAGTGGAATTGAGTCATTTGGATTCCCTGTGAATCGTACGTTCTTGTTCTTTTCTTATCCTCCATAGCAATAGATAATAGAATTGTCTGCATAGGAACCGTTACTCCTACATTCGGTGTTTTCCTTTGTAGAACATTTTTGGGTTTGCAGTATCTTCTTTGTTCACCACACTTGTACATTTGTACCTAGACTATTTATTTCCCTGGTGAATGGTTTGCTGAGATTCCTGGTATATAGTGATACTACAATTATCTGATGTTTTCTAGAAAATTGGAGTTTCCCTTTAAATACCGGTATCTTTCATATTTTAACCAGTTTGTTGGAAACGCAATTTTCTTCATGCTTAAGCCAAGGCTGCTGAACATCCCTGAAGGCTCTCTGGATGTCTATGCTGCATTTACTCCTGGGCTACGTGTGGCTATCACAGAAACCCACGCAGGCCTGCTGTCAGTCTAGGGGCCTCTGGACGAGCGAGATGGTTCAGGTGTGGTAGAACTTGAGCGCCTCCAGTGCTTTCCTTCGCCCTACGGCTGTTGTACTTAGACGAATGTTCCGTGTCCTCCTTCAGCCTGTCACCTGTTTCTTTTTGTCATTGTCAGAAAAGCCTGCCTCTTGTATTCTCCTCTTATTAGTTCTCTCATCCTGAGCCACTGTGGCCTAAGAAACTGAATAACTACACCAGTCAGTGCAGTATCTGAAAAACGAGTGGACAGACCTGTGCCCAAGAACAGAGAACACGCCTGTGGATGTCCTCACGTGTGGATTTTAGGTGCCTGAGCCTTGGTGCAGAAGCAGCCTTACTGCCAATAGGCTTTTTTCTTCCTTCTCGAGTCTCGATCGTGTTGCTTAGTTTCTGCTTTACTTTGTTTGCAAATGACAGTTTGGGACATGAGTTATTATATAAAATAACTATATATAAAACCTTATATATAATACATATATATGTTATATACATATAATATATAAGGTTTGGGATCATAACTTTGTTTCATTAACCAGCCAAAGACCAGTTAAAGAGAAGCACTTAGGGCCTGGTGTTGTGGTACAGTGGGTTAAGCCACCACCTGCCATGCCAGCATCCCTTCTAGGCACCTCTCTCTCTGTAACTCTGCCTTTCAAATAAATGTTTCAAACAAAACAAAACAAACTCAGAATCACTTAGACTAGAAAGGTCTTCGGAAATAATCTCAACAGGTGTTCTGGTTTCTTTCTTTCTTTCTTTCTTTCTTTCTTTCTTTCTTTCTTTCTTTCTTTCTTTCTTTTAGGTTTTATTTATTTATTTGAAAGAATGACAGAGAAGGAAATTTTCCATCGGCTAGTTCACTTTCCAAATAACCAGAACAGCTGGGGCCGGGGCAGGCTGAAGCCAGGCACCCGGATCTCCATCTAGGTCTCTCCAGTGTAAGTGGCAGGAACCTAAGTACTTGAGCCACATCTGCGGCCTCCCTGGTGCGTTAGCAGGAAACTGGATCAGAAGCAGCAGGGGACTTAATCCCAGGCACGCTGATATGCAGCGGCCTCAGGTGCTCTGGCTTCAGCGCCTTTGTGAACATTATGTCTGGAAAGCTCCTTACGGATAATTCCCTTTTTATTAAATTTTTTTTGAATTTTAATCCTTGGGTGTTTTTGTGGTATGGGAACACATTAGTTAGGTTGTAGGATTCCAATGGACTCCTCATGTGTTTGTTCACTTGCTTCCTGGGGACCAGAGTTTGCTCTGAGTCATGCTCTGCCTGATTTGTCTTGGATCTGGCTATGGCACCTGACCCAGATGGGCTTCAGGCCCAGCCACCGGCTCATCTGCAGAATGGCTGGCAGAGCCAAGACCAATGTCCTGCCCCATTTGTCCTTTTTCCTCTTGCACTTTCAGGATCTAAAGAGGGCATCATTACCAGCAGCCGGCAGGTGCGCCTTGCCACAGGCGTCTTCCCTGTTATCAGCCTCCTAAACCACTCCTGCAGCCCCAACACCAGCGTGTCCTTCGTGGGCACTGTCGCCACCGTTCGGGCATCACAGCACATCAGACGAGGGCAAGAAATTCTCCACTGCTATGGTGAGCTGTGCCCCTTGCCACTGTCCTGGCCTCCTCCAGCAGGAAAGGACAGGGCGGCTAAGAAGGAGCAAGCCAGGGTGGGCGGCAGCTCAGTGGCCTTAGCTACCACGTGGGATCCCCGTTTGAGTCTTGGCTCCTCCACTTCTGATCCAGTTCCCTGCTAATGCACCCAGGAGGTAGCAGAGGACAGCTCAAGTACTTGAGTTCCTGCTACCCATGAGAGAGACTGGGATGGAGTACTTGGCTCCTGGCTTTAGCCTGGCTGTTGTGGGTATTTGGCTCTCTTTCTCTCTGTATCTCTTTCTCTCTGCCACTCTGCCTTATGATTAAATAATTTTTTAAAGCTTTATTTTATTTATTTGCAAGGCAGACTGACAGAGAAAGAAAGTGAGAGATAGATCTTCCATCTACTAGTTCACCCCCAAATGGCTGCAGTGGCAGGGGCTGGGCTAGGCTGAAGCCACGAACCTAGAACTCCATCTGTATCTCTCACAAGGGTATCAGGGGTCCAAGTACTTGAGCCATCTTCTGCCATTTTCCCAGGCGCAATAGTAGGGAGCTGGTTTGGAAGTGAAGCAGCTGAGACTCAAACCAATGCACACACAGGATGCCAGTGTCACAGGCAGCTGTTTAACACCCTATGCCACAACATCGGCCCCTCAAATCAGTAATCTCAAAAAAAGGAGCAAGCCATCAGGCAAGTTCCTATAAGAAGTACTGCATCCTTAGGTCAAAAAAAAAGAAGCCTTCTCACTCTTATAAGAAGCCCTCTTGTGGCTAAGCTGTCATCTCTCTCACATCATGATTCATCCTTAAAAACTTTCTTTCTGATAATGAGCAAGGGATGTTTTCTTGGCTTCTTTTATGCCCTGTCCCAACAACCTGGAAGCTCATGTCACTAATTCAACATATATTTAAGTGAAAGGCACCTGCCGCCTAACAACTAATTGTCCAGATGCTGTGCTATGCTGAAAGCACTCAGGTTCTGTTTGACCCTCTCTTGCCTTAAATACTAGCCAAGGGTGCTCTCTCCCCAGGGCCTCACGTGAGCCGGCTGGGCATCGCTGCAAGGCAGCAGAAGCTGAAGTCACAGTATTTCTTTAACTGCAGCTGTCTGGCTTGTCAAACTGAGGCTCACGCAACAGCTGCGGCACCCAGGTGGGAAGCCTTCTGCTGCAGCAGTTGCAGAGCGCTCCTGCAGGTATGGGGCCCTTCCCCCTCCCCACGTGTCCTGGCAGTCGGCAGTCCAGCCCCACAGTCTTAGCGCCACTGAGAGCAGTAACACTGCTTCCATTTCAGCTCATCACCCCATACAATGGCCACCCCCCACCCCTAAGGAACCGCAGGCAAAGATTGGGTTCAGTAATGTTCCTCTTGCAAATGACAGAAAATCCCACCCAGACTGGTTCAGGGGGTGAGAAAATACCAAGAATTTGTTGGTCCAAGGAAATCATTGAAATGTCCCAGAGAGCAGCCTACACAGCAGACTCATAGAATGGCAATTGCTTTAAGTAGCACTCTGCCCTCAGAATCAGCCCTTAAGGCATCCTGGTCTGGCTGAAAAGCCCAAGATAGCATTTCAGGGATGGAAAGCCAAGACAGTGTGGCAAAAAAATAAATAAATAAATATTCTCTATGAAGGATCTCTGTGAGTGAGACCCCAGTGGAATGAAGTGGCCATCAAAGAAGGATGTACTTTTCTCTGAAGGGAGGAGAGAACTTCCAATTTGCTTATGGCCTTGTCTAAATACTGATGGAGTTTGTGGATTCAGAAGGCTTCCATAGCCTTTGCAGCTCATGTCAAGAGCCTCGGGTGGTCACTGACATCATACATAAGAATTTTAACTGCTAAATTAACAATAGGAGTCACTGTGCACTAACTTCCCATGCAGGACTCTGTCCTTAATGAGTTGTATTATGAGAGTTAACTGTAAAATTTGTTTTCAAACAGTTTATGTGTGTGTGTGTGTGTGTGTGTGCATGCGCAAATTGTTGAAATCTTTACTTAATATAGAGTTGGTCTGCTGTGTACAAAGTTAATTGAAAATGAATCTTAATGGAGAATGGGACTGAGAAGGGGAGAGGAAGGAGGAGGAATGGTGGGAGTATGAGTGGGAGGGCGGGTATGGTGGGAAGAATATATTCCTAAAGTTGTACTTAACGAAATTTGTGTTCATTAAATAAAATGTTGCTTGGGGAGGGGGGAGTCCCAGAGTAGGGCTACTTGGGGTACAGATTGATCCAAGGGCTGAGATGACATCACCAGGACCCATTTGTTCTGTCTTACCTCACTCAGCTTCATTTCTGATGTTAGCCTCCTCTGAGACAGACTCCCCTCTCAGGGTGGCAGGGTCACTGCCAGCAGCGTCTGCCCTCCCCACCTGGGAGGATGAGGACACATGCCACCCTGACAGCAGCCTGAGCAGGAATGCTGCTGTGTTCCCCGGTCTGGTAACCATGTTAGAAGGAAAGCAAAACCTCCAGCCGTTTGGGCAGAGGAGCAGGTCACCTGGCTCACTCCCTAGATGCCCGCAATGGCCAGAGCTGGGCCAATCCGAAGCCAGGAGCCAGGAGCTACTTCTGGGTCTCCTACATGGGTGCAGGGGCTCAAATGCTTGGGCCATCTTCTACTGCTTTCCCAGGCCATTAGCGGGGAGCTGGATCAGAAGTGGAGCAGCTAGGACTCGAACCAGCACCCATATGGGATCCTAGAACCACAGGCAGAGGCTTAACCTACTATGCAATAGTGCTGGCCCCAAGGAGCAGGCCACCTGGGGGCCACATGCCCACCCCTCCACTGTGGACAGCTCACAGGGGACAGTAAGGGAGGGAAGGAGGGAACTCAAGAGACATGAGGCTGCCGCCGCCAAATGAGAACATCTAAAAGATGGTAGATGGCCAGCGTCGAGGTCCTGTCCCAGAGCCATGGCGGAGTGCAGAGCCAGTGTGTCAAAGCTGAAGCGTCACACCCCAAGCTCAGCCAAGAGAGGGCTTCACCTAACACCTCTTTCTGTTGGTTTCCTTGTGGCTTCTTCGTAGCTACTAGAAGCATGTTTGTCATCCAGGGTCCTAGCCCCCAACAGAGAGAAGACAGGGGTTGTGGAGATGGAAAGAAACGTGGGCGCTACCACTTCTGTTCTATAAAAACCAAGTCTCTTGGTGGGATCAGCTGCTGCTCTTGTTAGAACCGCAGCTGTCAGAGCAGATCCCTCAGGCTTTGGCCTCGCGGCTGTAGTGCTGGGGCAGTGTTCTCCTGTGGGACAAGCTGCCATGTGAGCACACCTCATGGTGAAGAATGGCTCCGATCTAGAGGTAAGGATGAAACCGCCTTCCACAGGGCGGTGACGTGCTGAGCTGCAGCAGCGGATCTTGTACGGAAGCCGTCAGCAGAGATCACCTGGCCGCTCGGCTGCGGGACCTTCAGCGGCAGACTGGGCTGGCCCGGGAGCTTCTCAGAAGTGGTGAGCTAGGTGAGACCAGCTCCCTGCGTTGGTCTTCCGGCGCCTTCTCCTTCATCCATTCTGATACCGCCTTGGACTCCAGGATACTCAGTAATGATTGAAGAGTTGAGTTTCATTATTCCCGTCCCAGCCACAAGATGGCCATACAGGCCAATGAGATCCAGTCCTGACCAGTTTAGTTAGCCTTGTGTCCTTGAAAAAGACCCCAAGGAATTATGGAGCTGTTTCTTATGCATCACATCCCTAGTTAAAGGACCCCTCGGGACTACAGGGTTGTCTCTCACACCATGAGCGCCGGACACTTCCAGAGTTCAGTGTCACTTGTTTTAATTTGAGGGCCTGATGTCACTGCCCTCAGCACCAGCCTCCTTTAGGGGGCAGTGGGCATACAGGGGCACTTCAAAACGTTTATGGAAAAAAAAAAAAAAAAAGATTTAAAAGATGAATTTATTTTGATACCAAAAAAAAAAGTTGAAATCTATGCCTAATGTTTTGCAGTATGCCTTTCCGTAGGACTTTTGGAGTCTTGTAAATCCCCCGCTTGTTTCAGAGAGGTAGCTGTGGGGCACCTTGTTGCCCTTGGGAACCCTGCCTTAGAGCTGGAGTGGAAATTATTTGCCCTACTTGAGGAAAGTTTACCTTTAACTAGATTTCAGTCAGTGGGATGTAGAGTTGGTTGCTTTGGAAAGCAGATGTTGGAAGCACAGGGTAAATGCCCAGGCCTTTGTTTTAATTAGAGCGAGCGATCTCCCATCTGTTGGTTCACTCTCCAAACGCCCCAACAGCTGGGCCTGGGCAGGGACTCAATCCAGATCTCCCACGTGGGTGGCAGAAACCCATCATTTGAGCCATTACCATTGCCCTCATGGGTGTACAGTAACAAGTCAGGCATTGAACCCAGCACCCAGGGATGCAGACCTCTCAACCCCTTGGGCTAAATGCCTTCCCCATATCCAGCAGCTTTGTCAGCGTAGGCACAGTGCCTCGGGGAAACAAAGCAAGATAGACAGTGCAGCCCAGGATTCTGGGTTCTCACTTCTAGGACTGGGGTGCTTTCCCCTTTGTCTTGATAGAGAAAGCCATTCAGCAGCTGTCGGGGTGCCAGCGTGATGCCGAGAGCTTCCTGTGGGCAGAGCACAGCGTGCTGGGAGAAATCGAGGATGACCTCGCCCAGGCCTACGCCGCCTTGGGTATGTGTGTTTCCGAGCTGCTTGGGTGCCTTGTCGGGCTTGGTTCTCAGGCTAAGCCAGGGCTGTGCTCCCTCTTGTCCATCTCTCCTTACCCACGATTGCCTGGGACTGTCTTTCTTCTTACAGGGGACTGGAAGAAATCGGCTGCCCATCTGCAGAAGAGTCTCACAGTGGTTGAGGCTCGCCATGGCCCGTCCAGTGTTGAAATGGGCCATGAGCTCTTCAAACTGGCCCAAATCCTGTTCAACGGGTGAGTCCTCCTTCCCAAGCACCCTGCCAGGGCACCCCTCGCCATATCTCTTACTTGCCTTCCGTGTTGGCACTTCTCCGCTGCCTCTGTAGGAGGGGTCCTTAAAACTCCTCAGAGATCCAGGGAGAGCTCTCAGATCTGCAGCGCTTTGGCCAGGGAGGCCTTGCCAGGCAGCCGCACCCGCCCACCCCCACAGCCTCCCTTCTCATTCCTCTCCTGTTAATCACTCTGCCCTTGGCTCTCTCACTCCCAGCCCCGTCAGCTCCAAGGTCTCTGCCCTCTCCCTAGACTGCATCCTATTCCTTTTTAAGCAGTTGTTTTCAGCCAGGAGTGATTTTTGCCTTCAGACAACATTTGGTACTGTCTGGAGACAGTTTTAGGAGGAGGCTATATCCGGTGGGTAGAAGCCAGAGGTATAGCTCCCCATTCCACAGTGCACAGGACAATGCCCCCACTGCCATCCCTCACCCCCTGGGCAAGGAATGATCAAGTACTAAGTGTCAGTCTTGCCAAAGTTGAGAAATGCTGTTTTAAAAATTAAAAAGAAGGGAACCAGCATTGTGGCGTGGTGGCCAGCATCCCATGTTGCACCCGTTCCAGTCCTGGCTGCTCCACTTCCAATCCAGCTTGTTACTAATGTGCCTGGGAAAGCAGCGGAAGATGTCCCAAGTCCTTGGGTTCCTGCACCCATGTAGAAGACCTGCATGAAGCTCCTGGCTTCGGCCTGACCCCAGCCCCAGCCTTTGCAGCCATTTGTAGAGTGAATCAGCAGATTCGTTTTTTCTGTTTCTCCCTCTCTCTAACTCTGCCTTTCATTTTTTTTTTTATTTTTTTTATTTATTTATTTTTTGACAGGCAGAGTGGACAGTGAGAGAGACAGAGAGAAAGGTCTTCCTTTTGCCGTTGGTTCACCCTCCAGTGGCCGCCGTGGCCGGCGCGCTGCGGCCGGCGCACCGCACTGATCCGATGGCAGGAGCCAGGAGCCAGGTGCTTCTCCTGGTCTCCCATGGGGTGCAGGGCCCAAGGACTTGGGCCATCCTCCACTGCACTCCCTGGCCACAGCAGAGAGCTGGCCTGGAAGAGGGGCAACTGGGACAGAATCCGGCGCCCTGACCGGGACTAGAACCCGGTGTGCCGGCGCCGCTAGGCGGAGGATTAGCCTAGTGAGCCGCGGCGCTGGCCTGCCTTTCATTTTTTTAAGATTAATTTTTTATTTCCTTGAAAGGCAGAGTTAAAGAAGAAGAGAAAGAGAGAGAGAGAGAGATCCTTCATCTGCTGGTTTACTCCCCAAATGGCCACAAGGCCTGGGGCTGGGCCAGGCCAAAGTCAGGAGCCAGGAGCGTCCTCCTGGTCTCCCACATGGGTGCAGAGGCCCAAGCACTTGGGCCATCCTCCGCTGCTTTTCCCAGGCACATTAGCAGGGAGCTGGATCAGAAGTGGAGCAGCTGGGATTACAACTGGTGCCCATATGGTATGCCAGCATTGTAGGACAACATCGACTCCCAATAAAATAAATATTTAAAAAACAAAATACGTAATGCGGAGCTGATGCTGAGGTCATCTTGGAGGCCCCCATTTTAATATTTCAGGATAGAATGCCTCCAAGTCTTGATAAAACTACCATTGGTTTGAGTAAGCGTTTGAAGCTTAAATTTAGGATTATGAATGGCGAGTGAACCTGATACCCAAGACAGAGATGGCCGGTTTGATCAGAGAGAGAAAAGGCCTGGGTCAGAGGTCGACTTAGTTACCCTAAGCCTAAGGTGAAAATCCCTATGTAAGTCTCCAGGTAAATATTACAGAAGGGGCAGGCTTCGTGGTGCAGCGGATTAAACTGCCTCCTGGAACACCCACATCCCACATAGGGTGCTGGTTCAAGTCCCGGCTATTCTGCTGCCCATCCAGCCTCCTGCTAACGTGCTGGGAAGCAGCAGATGATGGCTAATGTCCTTGGCTCCCCACCAGTCATGTGGGAGACCCACATGGAGCTCCTGCTCACAGCTTCAGCCTGACTCAGCCCCCGCCATTAGGGCCATTTGAGGAATGGACTGGCAGATGAAGCTCTCTCTTTGTGTCACTCTGCTGCCAAATAGGTAAATAAATTTTCTAAAAGAAAGATTAAAGTCTTAAGATCTGCCTGTTTTTCTCAGGATCCTGGAGTATGTATACTTATTTTTAGTAACTTTTTTCTCAAACTCTGCCTTGCAGTGTGTTTGTGAAAGTATCTTGTGCACCTTTCTAGGTTATAGACCCTTGAGGACAGAAGTGAGCTCATCTGATTTTGTATTCTTCACAGTGTGTGAGCCCTCGGTTGACATGGGCTTGACTAAATAAGTGGAACTTTTTTTTAAAGTTTATTTATTTATTCAAAAGGCAGTGTGACGCAAAGAAAGAAGACAGAGATCTTCCATCCACTGGTTCACTCCCCAAATGTCCACAAAGGCCTGGGCCCAGGCCAGGCCAAAACTAGAGCTGAAATTCCATCTGGGTCTCCCACATGAGTCGGGGGCCCAAGCACTCGGGCCATAATCCAAAGCTTTTCCCAGGCACATTAGCAGGCATCTGGATGGGAAGTGGAACAGCCAGGATAAATGAATGAATGAATTTTCTTAAAGATTTATTTATTTATTTGAAAGTCAGAATTACACACAGAGGAGAGGCAGAGACAGAGGTCTTCCATCTGCTGGTTCACTCCCCAATTGGCCGCAACGGCCGGAGCTGCGCCGATCCGAAGCCAGGAGCCAAGAGCTTCTTCCAGGTCTCCCACGTGGGTGCAGGGGCCCAATGACTTGGGCCATCCTCCACTGGCTTCCCAGGCCATAGCAGAGAGCTGGATTGGAAGAAGAGCAGCCGGGACTCCAACCGGCGCCCATATGGGATGCCGGCGCTTCAGGCCAGGGCGTTAGTTAACCCACTGCACCACAGCACTGGCCCCAAATTTTTTTTTAAGATATATTTATTTATTTGAAAGTCAGAGTTACACAGACAGTCACTGAGAGAGAGAGAGGCCTTCCATCCATTGGTTCACTCCCCAGTTGGCCACAACAGCCAGAGCTGCGCCGATCCAAAGCTAGGAGCCAGGAGCTTCTTCCAGGTCTCCCACATGGGTGCAGGGGCCCAAGGAGTTGAGCCATTTTGCATTACTTTCCCAGGCCATAGCCAAGAGCTGGATTGGAAGTGGAGGAGCTGGGACTTGAACCAGTGCCATATGGGATGCTGGCACTGTAGGTGGCGGCTTTACCCAATACACCACAGCACCAGCCCTGAATGAATGAACTCTTACTGTTGCCTCTCCATCCAGGTTTGAAGTACCCGAAGCTCTGAGCACGATACAGAAGGCAGAGACGGTCCTGGCCGTGCACTGCGGCCCCTGCAGTGATGAGATCCAGGAGCTCCAGCAGATGAAATCCTGTTTATTGGACTTGCCACCCGTCCCTGTGGGGCCCTCAGCATAGGGTTCCCAGAGTGACCCTCAGAGAGCAGCCCCAGGAAGACAAGTTAAAAGAGGCTCTGTTGCTGCCAAACTTAGCCAAGAAAGATAGGACTTGCCCAGCGGTCCCAAGCCCGGTGCATGAGGGCAGGGAGGGCTCAGAAAACACCCCAGTGAGAGGGAGCTACTCGCCTATTTTAATGACTGGTTCTTTTTTCTTTTACGTTAAGATTTATTTTTTATTTATTTGAAAGGCATAGTGAAAGAAAGAGATCTTCCATCCGGCTGGTTCACTCCCCAAATGGCCCCAAATGGCCGGGGCCAGGCCAGGATGAAGTCAACAGTCAGAAGCCTCTTCTGGGTCTCCCACATGGGTGCAGGGGCCCAAGCACTTGGGCCAGCTTCGGCTGCCTTCCCAGGCGCACTGGTAGGGAGCTGGGATTAGAAGAAGAGCAGCCGGGACTCAGATCAGCACTCATACTGGATGCCAGTGTTCCAGGCCACAGCTTGACCCTCTGTACCACGAGGCCAGCCCCTAATAACTGTTTATAGACACAGTTAACAGTCCTCCAATAAAAAAACCCAGTTCCCAGAAAAGGCTTAGAACTAATCTAGTGTCTAGAGAGTGCTGGTCCTTTAAGAGGATTTTAACTGATCTTCAGGCATCTGGATGTGAGCCTGGGGTTTTGGCCGGATTCCACCTCACTCGGTGATGATAGCTGGAACATTCCGGGGGCTTCTAGTAGTCATGTGTTGCACACCACTCCAGTGGGAACTAAACCCTTGATAATTATATTGTAATTGAAAAAATAAAGCAAAGACTCCACGAGACACACAGTTGCACTCAGGGTCTCTAGCTTCCCCCAACCCTCTTTCGCTACCCCTGCAGTCTAAGCTGTGAGTGGAGAAAAAGGACAGGACCCTCGTTGGACAGTTTCTTCCAGGGATGGCCACTCTTAAATTTGTTTTCAACCAGTTTGCCGGCCGTCTGGCTTGGAGTCTGTCTGCTTGGCAGCCTCACTGACCAAGCACTAATACAGTCAAATTTGTGGGAAAGACTTTATAACACGTGCGCCTCTGTCCAAGTTCTCCTATTGATCAGCAAGCCTAGAAAGAGACCACTGCTCCTACCAGGCCTCCCCATGCAGCAGATGAAATCCAGACGGCGTGAGTACGGGAAAGGGCGGCGAGGGATTTCCAAAAATGCTAGGGTGTGGATGTCGCTGCTGTGGTTTCAAACTTCAGAGGCAGGAGGTGGAGACGATGGCTGCCTTCCACCGGGACGTGGAGCAGTGGTGCAGGCCCCATCCTGGTCAGAAGGCCGCCGGATTCTCTGGGTCTGACCTCTGGTTGCTAGATCACCACTGGTGACTGAGGGTTCAAATGAGTTCGTGGGAAAGATTGCCAGGTCCACACTGCTTTTGAGAGTTTGCCGGCCCTGGCCATGCCCAGGAAGTGCCCAGTGGTTGCCATGGCATCATAATTAGGAAATGAATAGCCCTGCAGAGGCTGGCAGAGGCTTCGCAGGAAGCCTAGTGTTTGGAGCACAGGCAGCGCTCAACATCTGCGAGGTGAAAGGTGGGCAGCACTTCATCCCTCCTCCTTTCTAGTAACTCGTCGTGGCCAGGGCTGGTCAGCGCGGTTTCTGAAAAGAGAAACTTTACCCCCACAGACAATTCTGTAGTTACCTTGTCCCCAGACTTGCCGTATTCCGCGTCCCTGAAAAGGACCCTATTGTACTTTGTTAAATGGGTATACTCCCTTAAAAGGAAGGTTTCTGGGTGGGCGTTGGGGCACTATAAGCCAAGCCACTGCTTGGGACACCCACATACCACATTGGAGCGCTGGTTCCAGTCCCAGCTACTCCACTTCCAACCCAGCTTCCTGCTGATGTCCCTGAGAAGGCAGTAGATGATGGCTTTAAGTGCTTGGGCTGGGAGACTCTGCTGGAGTTCATGGCTCCTGGCTTCAGCCTGGCCCAGCCCTGGTTGTTGCAGCCATCTGGGGAGTGAACAGTGGACAGACGATCTCCTCTCTTTCTTCTGTCTCAGTCCCTCTCCGTCATTCTGCCTTTCATATAAATAAATACATCTTTTTTCTTTAATTTCAGAATTTTTATATATCAAGTCCCATTTTATGTATACTTAAAAGTTTCTCTACATGTTTTATAAAATAATTATTTCCTGACTTACAAATTACTTCCTTATCTATCCAGATGTTATCCCATGTTGTCACATGTGACATTAGCTTGACTGCTTGCATGAAAACCTAGTCTGGTTTATTTTAAAGCCTGATTCCTGGTTGTGGGGGACAGGGAGTCAGTGGTCCTAGTGCATCAACACCCCCAGAGCAGAAAAACAACCCTTACAGTATTATACAAGGCAGATAACTAATAGTGGTGACTTCCTGCAGAGTTTAATACAACCAGGCTATAAGTTAAAGACCAGCAAACTCCTGAAGGGCAATTTATCTTCATATTAAGCTTAGCATAGCTAAAATCAGGAGGAACAAAGTAACAAAAATGAAAGATAAAGCTCTTTTATTGCAAAGTATACACTGAAACGTTACCACGGCAGCTTTAATGTAATGTATAATCTGCCATCCCTCTGGGGTCTTCTTTTAGGCTACTGGGACATTAAACCGGAGCATTAAGTGCCCCTGGGGTCCAGAATCTTGCCTACGAAGAGCAGGGCCCCTGTGTCCGAGTCCCTCAGCACAAAGATGAAAGGCTGGTTCAGGTGGTAGTCCAGGGAGAAGGCGAGGCGGGCAGGCTGCACCTCTGGCCCCGGGCTGGTTGCCGCCCCGTCCTCATTCCACTCAAAGCCAGCCCGGTGTTCCACGTGCGTGAGCTTGATGGGCTTGCCTGTGATCTTGCTGAAGTCAGGTGACTCAAACAAGGGTTGCAGCTCTGCGAGATTGGGAGAGAGTCTCATGGAAACCTGCCTTATCCAGCGCCCCAGGGAGGATTTCTCAAGCAGGCAACAAGCTGGGAGCAAAGCATCGCCTTTGACCTGCTGTGAGACAGGCAGGCCTCGGGCTGGCGGAGGGTTGCGAGACTCGCCAGGGCACACAAGTAAGGTTTAGATTAGAAGCCAGGTCAAACAGACCTGTCTGGGAGGTAGAGTCCTGTGTCCTGTTAGGGCACGTATGTTCCCAGGGCTAAGCAATGAGGCCGATAAGCAAGGCTGCTCAGTCTCCTTGCCCTGACCCCAGCACTATTACAATAGAGGAACCATCTGGGGCCTCCCCACGGGACCATGGAACCCGTGAGTTCAAGGCTCAAAGACTCAACCCCATCCCACCCGCCAAGAGCAGGGCGGTCTGGCAGACATACTTATCTCCTGCAGGGCCTTAGTGACTTCGCCTTCAAAACTCAGCTTCAGCCTGGGGATGCTCAGGGCCGCCTGGATAGTCTTAAGCTCTCGGTCTATGTCATGAATGAACTCGGAGGTGAGGCTTTCTTCTATCAAGGTCAAGTTCTGAGTTGGTCTCAGGGGCAAGAAGAAGATGATGCTCATGCTTCCAGTCAGGGGCAGCTGGGCGATCTGAAACAGCAGGAAGTGCGGGGGTTAGTATCAGGGCCCAAGAGCCTGGGGACAGACACTCCCCAAGGGCTGTCTTCCCTGTCCTGTGGTGGGCCTGGGCCTCGTGTCTCCCTCAGCCCCGATAGATGTGGCAGTTGGCCCTCTAGGTTTGTGCTTCCTGGCAGCAAGTCACCTCCGAATGTTCCTTCCACACGTAGGCTGTTGCCCCCTTCCTTAGCCTAAAACCAAGTGAAGCTGCTGCAGAGGCCCTTCTGTGGGTCTAAGGAACACGAGCTGAATTCCAGGTCTCTCTTCGCCCAGAGTCCATCTGCTAACATTTACTGACCATCTGTCGTGTGCAGAGCACTGGACTAGAAGTGCTAGGGGGCGGTGGACACAGCTCTACAGAAACAGCATTAACAAAAGTGATTAACCTAACGGCTGGCATTGTGGTGCAGCAGTTTAAGCTGCTGCTTGGGATACTTGCATCGCATATCATCAGAGCGCCCGGGATCATGTCCCAGCCCCTCCACTTCTGACCCTGCTTCCTGCCTTTGCACTTGGGAGGCGGCAGTTTATGGCTGGTTCCTACCAGCCATGTAGGAGACCTGGATGGAGTCCTGGATTCTGGTATGGTCCTGGCCTAACCTTAGCTGTTGACGTCATTTACAAAGTGAACCAGCAGATGAAAGATTCTCTCTCTCTCTCCCACCACCACTACCCCAGTCTGTCACTCTACCTTTCAAATAAATAAATAAACCCTTTTTTTAAGTTATTAACCTAAAAATCCACAGGAAAAATGGAGTCCCAGTGCCAAAAGCCCCCTGAAGTCACAGACAAGAAGTGTGTTCATGCACTCGTGGGGCATCCCAGCCAGTGCCCCGGGCTCTGGTCAAATCCTCAGATCCGTGGCCCAGCAAAGGTTCACAGCTACCACTGACTTAGAGCTAATACTCATGGATGCCTCGAATGCCAGCAGCGTGGAGGCTGTGACAGGTCTGTTTGTTTCAAATTTGAAGGTCTCCAAAAAATGAAAGATGGCAACTCTGCCCAATCTTGCCGGACCCTTAATCCTTACAACAAACTGAGAAGGTGAGTTTTGATAGCCTCCCCCCGCCATTTTGAGAACAGGGGTGGTTCAGAGATGTTGCTGACTTGCTCAAGTCACACAGCAGGCAAAATGTAGGCAGCTGTCTGTCTCCAAGGCCACACCATGCTGCCTCTGCCCTCCCCGCACTCCCACTGTCCACCCCAGTGCTACAGACCTTGCAGTTGAGATCAGAATCCAAGCCATAGCGTAAAGTGGCCTTGGGGTCTGACATCATGGGGACTCTCACGGTCCTCTCCTCATCCAAGTGGAAATCCTGGAGGGAAGTCTTTCTGGAGTCAAACTTTGTTACCCACTGCCCTGGAATGAAAGGAAAAGTGTCCTGAGCCCCAGCGGACAGGGCCGGTGGAAACTGCCCAGCTGGAGGGCTCACCATCGCCCAAGGTCCTGACACAGCAGGCAGTCACTCCATCTCGGCGTGTGGTTTGGACCCGAATGCCTTCCCCAAGCAAACTCAGATGGACATAAGCTAATTGTGTTCAGCAGAAAGCAAACTGGTGTGTACACCTACACTGATGTCTCTGGGTGGGTGACAGAATCGAAGGAAGTCACAGCTGGGAGGGACCGCCAATGTCAGATCACCCTTCGCTGCCACCCACACACGTGGCATGGTGTGCGGATACCCTCCAAGCAAGCCCACGCCCAAGCGCCTTCCGTGTCCTGGGTGTGTCACTGCCCTCCCACTCACTGGACAGCACTGCGGGAAGTAGGAAGCCGTCAGACTTTTCTCTAGCGGGGGGTGGGGGGGTCCCTTCTTGCCACCTGGTGGGTGGTTACAAAGCACTTGATGGGGGACGTTGCCCAAACAGCTCTCCAGGGCCTTACTGAACCTGACTGGGGCAGTCCTCACACTGGGCACATCAGCACAACATGGCAGAAGAATGCAGGTGGATGAGCACACGCCATGTCCCCGCTACGGTACCAGGGTTGCTGTGCAAATGAGAGGTAACATCTGCAAAGGGTCTATAAAGTAGGTGTATGGTTTTCACCATCAGTTGAGAAAGCAGGCCTAAAGAGTTATGAAATTTGTGCAGGGTAAAGGCAGAGCCAGAATTTATACCTGGTCTAGGGGCTGGCCCTATGGTTCAGTGGGTTAAGCTGCCACCTGTAACGCCAGCATCCTGTATCAGAAAGCTGGTTCAAGTCCTGGCTGCTCCACTTCCAGTCCAGCTCCCTGCTAATGTGCCTGGGAAAGCAGCGGAAGATGGCCAAGTCCTTGGGCCCCTGGATCCAGGTGGAGTACCTGGCTCCTGGCTTTCATCTGACCCAATCCTGGCTGTTGTAGCCATCTGAGGAGTAACCCAGTGGACGGAAGATCTCTTTCTCTCTCATTCTAACTTAAATAAATATTTAAAAACAAATAAACCTGGTCTGACTGCAAATCCAGGAATCTAACGCAATGCCCAGCCCCAAACAGGCCCCCTGGTGTTCATTCTTTTTCCTTCTCTGCTCTTCTGCACGCTTCTTGTGCAGTGTAGACACGAGGAGCAGAGAGACGCATGCTGGCAAGTGCAGCTCTCACGCCCTCCTCTGGCTCTGCCCCAGGTTCATGTTCAACATGACTTCTCGGAGCCTGGCCCAGCCCCCTCAGACACCTGCCAGCCACCCGTGGCCAAAAGGGAAGTAGAGAAGTTCTCACCCTTGAAATAAGCCACGCCGAGGAGGAAAATGCTGATGTCACTGGGCACCTCCCTGGCAGACCTGGCCACCTTCCCTTTCATCTGGGCCTGCACCCAGCCGTTGAGCTCCTGAAGGTCTAAGCGAGGGTTGCCACTCAGGACCCTGGGCCTGGTCCCATACGCCTTCTCCAGCGGTGCCACGAAGCTGGATTTTATCCGCAGCTCTGGGAGAGGGCAGAGCAGAGGTCAGTGTACGAGTCTCACAGCCGCGTCCTCTGAGTGCCCACCAGGCTCAGCTTCTGGCTCGCCTCTCAGCACCTCCCACTTCCCGACCACTCTCCCAGGGACCCGCTGGGACTTCTGCTGGCTCCCCCAGGCCCTGGCCAGGGAACAAGAGAGTTCACTCATTGCTGTTACTGCCCTGCCCCCACCCTCCTGCTGCCGCCGCAACCCACTTCCTCTCTCTGATCCTCTGGGGCTCACAGGGCCCTTCCTGTCCACGAGTGCCAGGCCTGGCCTGAGCACACAGTGCCTACTGTTTAGAAAGAAGCCCCCAGCGCGGCACCAGGAGCCCCAGGCCAGGAGGGCCACTCACTCCTCTCAAAGATGATGCGGGAGGCACTCTTGAGGTTCTTCTGCGGGGCCGTGACGGCGGCCAGAAGCTCCTTGTAGGTGCCGTGGATGTCCGGGTTGCTGATCAGGTCGTAGTAGAGCGCTCGCTGTATGAGGGATTCTGTTCGCTGCTCGGCTCCTGCCACACAGATAAGGGCGGCCTCGCTGACCGTCTCAGGACAGGGACACCGTATCCCCCTTTGTCTGCCGAGAGCCTGCGTAGGCTGAGCCGGGAGGACATTCTAGGCGGGCAGTTAGAAGGCGGTGGAAGAAGCAGGGACTGTGTTCTGTGCCTAAGGTAGGCTGAAGGCAGCACACCCAGTCTACACCACGTGCTTATCAGCGACCCCTGCGAGCTCAGCTGGGACGCCAGGGAGCAGGGTCCGGCCATACCCCGGGGGTCAGTTGGCACACGGTGGCTGCACGAATGAGGCCACCACGCCGGTAGGCGCCCAGGCCACACAGCGCCTTTCCTGGGAGCCCCGTGCTCACAGCCTCGGGGGCGCCGGAGCGCCCCGCCAGCCCCGCGGGCGCCCTCTGCGACTGCGCACTCACCCAGCGAGAGGGCCGAGAGCGCCGTGGCCACGCTGAGCGGCGACAGGAGCACGTTGGCCGTGGGGCTCTCGGCGGACCGCTGGCGGTACAGGTCATAGCCGAAGTTGGAAACGGCCGCCGCCAGCTTGTTCACGGGGACCTTGAAGAAGGGGTCGTCCTCCTCCAGCGGCGGCCCGGTGCCGTCGGGGGCCGGGGAGCCCTGCCGGGAGACAGGGAGGCCTGGGCTTGGGTTCAGCGGCTTCGCGAGGCGATGTCCTGCTGGCCCGCGGCTGACCTTCTAGCTCCGGCAGGCGCCCTGAGCCTGCCCGGGGCTGTCTGTTCCCCTGATTACGCAGGGGCCCTCAGCTGGGGAGAGGCAGCCGAGGGAGAGACAACTGGCCAGGCTCACACACTTGCGACACGCTTCAAAAATTAAAAATTGACAAGGACTTCCCTCACCCCCCAAGAAACCCCGCACTCAAGCTGAACAAGCTCCCTGGAAGTACACTCCTGCTCTCTCTTTCAGGCGTGGGGGTCTCTGCCTAGGAGCTGCTATGAAACCCTCCCTTCTGTCCATGGCCCTCTTCCGTGTCTCCTCCTCCTTTGCAGCTTTTTCCTAACCACCCCGATCTGAGGGGACCTTTTGGGTTTTCCGATCTTTTTTCAGCATCATCTACCGCTTACTCGAGAACCACCTGCCAGGCAGGGCCCCCTGCTAGCTCTTTGCAGCTGAGTTACTTCATTTCACACTTGGCGATGCGTTTGGTGGACGTGATACTCCAAACACGGCGTCTCGAAGCGCTGAGCTCCTTGAAAGGCAATAACGGAGTCCCGTACCTGCCTTCAGAGTAGGCGCTCAATAGACAGGGAAATGAACGGCCGCCGTGGCACCATCAGGGTGGCTTTTGGTTTTGCTGGAGAGCAGAGTGCCGAGATATGCCACCCACTGGCCCACTCCCCAGATGCCAAAAACAGTCAGGGCCTGAGCCAGGAACCGGAAGTGCGGTCCATGTCTCTGATGGGTGGCAGGAAACCAGCCGCCTGAGCCACCATCACTGCCTCCCAGAGGTGTGCAGTAGCAGGAAGCTGGAGTCAGGAGCTGGAACTGGCACTCAAACCCAGGCACTCCAGTGTTGGATGTAGCCTCTTAACCAGCTAACACTTGCCCAGTGGGTGTTTGTAGCCCATTTTACACTCCAGCAGAGACAGAGGCAAAAGGACCTAGTGAGGAGTAGAGCCAGAACTCAAACTGCCAGCTCCCACAAAGCCCGAGGCTGCAGCTCCTGTGCCCAGCTGGCTGTGCCCTCCTGTGCCGGCCACCCTTCCCCCACTGTCAGCACGGGCTTCTCGCCCGGTGCCTGGATCTGCCTTCAGCCCTGCTGTGCTCTCTGGGCAAGGGAGAGGGCTGGCCGGGCCCTTTGCTGCGCGCCTGGTCGGCATCAGAACACCCAGACCTCCATCCACTCGGTGAGCCCCACCAGTCACGCAAGGAAACGAGGAAAGGTGTTTGGGGAAGGGGAGCGGGCCTGGAGTTGTTCACGGGCTTCACGTTTTTGGATCTTACTTTTGATCACACTCTGTCTCCTGAAAGATAAAAGGTTTTCTCTCTGTTTTGAAATCAAGTCCGGGACAAATAAATGCCCCAGCCTGGCCTGGAACCTGGGTGCCTGTGGCAGCCTCTCCCACCTCCCAAGCTTGCTGGTGAGGAGAGGCCGGGACCTCTGATGCTGCCCACCCACCCCTACTGACCTCCTCCGGGCTGCTAGCGATGCTCTGGCAGCTGCCGTGCCCAAGGAGGGCTCCCGTCCAGAGGAGTAGCACCAGGGCCTGCATCGTGGGACTGCAACAGAAGGAGGGGCAGTGGGGCCGCTTTTCTCACCCACCATCCGGCCCTGCACAGCCACGCCCAGAACACGGAGCAGGGGCTGGGCAGGGCCAGAGGTACCACCCCCGCGCCTCCCAAGCTTGACGAGGACTCAGGCGTTCCCCCCTAGCCGTGTGCGCTGCAGCCCTCCACCTGCCCCGTGACCCAGAGTCGACACCATCATCTGTCAGGGGCCCCACAGCTGCAGAGCAGGGAAGAGCCAGCCAGGGCTCCTCTGTTCGGAGTCTGGTCTAGCACACACGCACACTAAAGCTTGCCCCTGGAGGCGCCCGACCGGCTCGCTCGTCTCCTAAGAGAGTGCGGGTCTTATCCACAGAATCAGAGGATGCGCAGCCAAAAAACCCAAGCATCCGGTCCAGCCGCGCCATCTCCGCAGGTTCTCAAACTCTTCTTAAATGGCTCTGGCCTGAAGCATGGCCTCAGGAAAGCCCTCCTTCCCACCCCCGCCCCAGACCCTGGTGTTCCCAGAGCTCTTCCTCTCCTGGTTAGGAGTGCAGGGTCTAGCCAGCGCCGCGGCTCACTAGGCTAATCCTCCGCCTAGCGGCACTGGTACACCAGGTTCTAGTCCCGGTCTGGGCGCCGGATTCTGTCCCGGTTGCCCCTCTTCCAGGCCAGCTCTCTGCTGTGGCCACTGTCCACTTTGCCTGTAAAAAAAAAATCAGAACCAAAAAACTTCAAAAAAAAAAAAAAAAAAAAAGGAGTGCAGGGTCCAGGGTCAGGCAGCCCAGGCTCAACTCTCAATTCTGTGTCTCTATCACTCTCTAAATTGCAGTTTTTTCTCTTGCAAATAAAATAGAATAGTGGCTGGCTATTGTAGTGAGCATTAAATTAGCTCATGCCAGAAGCCAGCAAGCTCGTCTGTGATCCCCAGTGTCCCCCCTCAGCCAGACTGCGGTCCCCCTTCGCTGCCGTGCAGCCGCACAGCCGCCTCTTCCCCCGGAGCTCAAAAGCGGCTGTCACGTCCCGCAGCCTCTCCCGCAGGTTAAACAGCCCCACGTCCCTCCACTCCCCCCTGGAACACAAAAGAAAACTCTGGAATCTACCGCGTGTCCTACGTGTCCTGCGCCGTCCCCACTCCTACACTCACCTCATCCCTGAGCTCACCCTGGGGTCAGATCTGGGGGTGGCGAGAATGAAGACAGCTAGGAGTGAGGGGCGTCACAGAGAAGCCCCCCCAGAGGTCTTCTGGTGAGCGAGCTGGACTAGCCGTCACCACCTGACACACACGCACACACACACGCACACACACACACGCACACACAGCAAATTGGATCAGAGAAGTTGGCGGTGCAGCGTGTGAGTCCTTGAAATGAAGAGGGACGATCAGCGGACACTGCGGCACACCAAAGGCAACAAGAGGAAAGGTCGCTCCGGGGTTTGCTCAGCGGGAGACAGGGAGGGCCAGCCAGCGGGAAGCAGCCAGGCTTTCCAAACCCTGCCCGAGAGTGTGGGTGTCTCAGCGAGCATTCCACCCAGCAGCTGCTCTTCCACGTGGCCGCCCTGCCGCTCGCCCTGGAGAAACGTTCCCTTGACACAGCAGGGAGAGACAGAGGCCTGCAGCTGCGCTCCACCCAGCCCCACCCGGAGCTGGCAGTGAGGCGCGCAGGGGCCGAGGCTGCAGGAAGACCCTGAGCTCCAGCCCCTCCGGCCCAGGGGAGGGCAGTGAGACAGGAGCCGCGGGCAGAAGCCAAGCTCACAGTTCCAAGGCACTCGAG